TCTTCTAACATGGTCTGATGACGATGATTTACACAGTAAGGTCAGACTGTCAATGCCTGACTGAGTTTGAAGCTCATCAACAAAGAAGCTTGACGGCAAGTTTTGACGAAAGTCAAAGAGAAATTTGGAGTGTGTCACATCGGAGGACTCCAATTTGTCTAGTTCACAGCTCTAACACGGCTACACTGCTCTAACACATTCATTCCAACACAGTGCTGCACTAGTTTGACTGAGCGGTTTTGAACGACACTCAGACAAATACATGCTTAAACAATCAGATTTTGATCTTTGGGAGTAAATCCTACGAACTCACGGCCACGAGGCGAGAGCCGTCCTTCTTCCAGGCCAGTGCGGTGATGGTGTAGAGGTTCTTAATTTCCTTCATCTTGGCCTCTTCCCACATGCCCCGGCGGGGTGCCCAGTTGAACACTCGTAGCCTGGTGATCAGATTCAAAATGCCGTCATTCTCACTGCTCACTGAGCAACTTTCCACGTGCCAAGTGAGTCACCTGCTTGAACACTCTCAGTACACGAAAACAATGTTACACACTTGTTCTGTAGTTGTGGGTCATGCACATGCATTGAAACATACATGTTGTGGGGACCAAAACGGTTACGGGACAAACTTTACACCCACAACTTGGTTCCAAATTTCTAAACAGACCAACTTTTCTCCTCAACGTTGAGGAAGGCCAACCCACAAGTGTTTTTTCTGTAGTTGCTGGGACGAGACATGTTGAAAAACAGATGTCACAGGGACCAAAGACGTCATGGCAAAAATTGTTTGTTCTGCAACTTGGTCTTCACTTCCCTAACAAAAGAAACCGTCACCTCAGTGAGGTGAAGGCCTACCCCAGTGAATAGAACAGTCTTTCCTCTGAGTGTCTGACCGGGCCAAGAGGGTTAACATTTAATAACTCACCTGTCGTAGCTGCCAACCACTACGGACTGACCGCTGGGGCTGTTCACGGCCACCGTGAACTCGTGCTCGTCCGCGTCGCGGCTGTAGTCGAACTGCTGGCCGACCCGGCCCTCCTTCCCGTAGACTGTGATGCGCTTGTCACAGCCGGCCGCCACGATGCTGCTGCCCGCCCAGCACAGGGCGTAGGGCGGGCAGGGGTGGGTGCAGATCTTGCCCTGCGACTCGCCTGTGCCTTCGTCTTCGAAGAAGAAACGGACAACGGAGCCGTCCGCGTGGCCTGAGAGGATGCCCTTACCAGACATGCTGTTCAAAATTTTAAAAAACAAGGAAGAAATCAATGGCACTGGGTAAATGGACGTGTTTGGTCAAAACCAGACACCTCTGTGCCAGACTTGAAGTAAGACTATGACAGCAAAACATGTTTTCACCTCATTGTCACCACAAACTTTTGCCAGTCATAAAACAAAACCTACCAGTACGTTTCTAGTGTTTACATGGACAATCTGATTCATTACTCACTTGGGTGCCAACGAGACAACGTAGGAATCTGTGCCATAGACAGTGGAGGATTTGTTATTCTTGGTGTTGGCGATGCGCACCTTGCCGTCTGCCAGACCAAAGACAATGTTACTGTCAGGGGGCCATATCATGCAAGTCACAGCACTCTGTTGGATAAACTTGTTGCAAATCACCTTCTTGGAATCCCTAAGGAGAGAAGAAACAAGTTAACATCAATAAACGCGGATCTGGATCTCGATCCGGATCATGGCTTGCTCCATCCATTACGTACGCAGGTTCCGGTGTTAGCTAACCAACGTCAGATCACTGATTGCAATCTGGATTAATGTAAAAACAAACAGGCCCAATCAGTCAAAAACTTTGTAGACTGGTGTCCACTCAAACCCAAGTACTGACCAATCGTCGCCGATCTTGTAGACATAGATGATATTGTCTGTCTGACCCACAGCGATCTTGGTGGAGTCGGGTGAGAATGCCAGCGCCTTCACGGTGTAACTCTTCTTGCCAAACTGAAACAAAATTCCACAAGAACATTTCCATCCAGTTATTTCTTTCTTGTAACCTTTCTGAATTTGACAAAATAATTTCTACTTCCAGCAAGCACCCTCTTGTTTGGGGCTGTATGATTTAAAGCCGACACTATTGGGGTCTCCCACTCCTTGAAACAAGGATGAGGCCTACAGGTACCTTGGCATCGACGGGTTTGGTGGAAAATTTATCCCGCCTCTCGCCGTGTTCGTCATACAGGAGCACAACGCGGTCCACTGTGCACACCGCCATCTTGGTGTTGTTGGGCGCCCAGGCAAGAGCTGTGATTTTTGCCGCACCATCCTGGGATTGAACACAAGGAAACGCAGCCAATGAAAATCATCAAATTGTTAGGAAGGGACAATGAATATAAAGGCCCCTTTAGGAAAGAATCCCATGTACGGATGCCGCTGGACACCCTGTGCCCAAACCCTACAAGACTCGTCTGAGAAAAATATAAGCGTTTTCTAAGTGAATACCTCAGTATTGTCACCGTAAATTTGACTTCTTAGGACATTGTACTGCTTCAAGATGGCTAAGAGATCACAGAGGGGAGAAATTAGCGGTGTCTGTACTTGGACTCTTCCCTTCCCATATTTCGTTGCAACGTTTTAGTGGAGTGTAGGTCTAGGTATATGTATTGCAGTGCAAACATCGTGATTGTAATTTACGCATGAAATATACATGTATGCCATGTCAGTTAAATTTAGTTAAATGGCCTAACATCTGTGATAAGGTTGTCCTCAGATCCCTAATTTTGCCAGCTACTGTCGAGTCTGGTTTTCAAATTAAGTGAGGAAATAAGGGAAATGGCCACCATACAGACACGGATACTGGGCTTTTTTCTTGTGCCTGAGTTAATGTCAAGTTAACGTATATCTGAGATTCCCTTGACCTTTAATTACTTTGACACCCAACCATACTAAAAGATCACAAATGAAAGATGTCAAAAAAATCTGGATGCATTTCTCATACAGATGGACAACACTAATTTTCCCTTAAAATGTTACAACAGCCGTCGGAAGGCGATAACATGTCCTAAGTTAAGTAAAAAGTGTAATTTAGCAAAGAAAAATACGAAGCATTTTTTATTTAGGGCAGGTCTACTTTGAGTTTGAAAACAGTTTTTTTTCAGACAAGTTTCATGCACAGAGGCATCAAGTGTTGTCCACGGGCATGACAGGCCTAAGCCCTATTATGACACTGTCCCCTTTCTCGAATTCTGATGAGAAGACTGAAGTTGAAGTGAACCACACCACTTTCTCCGACATGGCTGCTATTTGAAACGTATTGTCATAATGAGTATGCCCATGAGTATGACTGAGTGACGATGTGTTGACAAGTAGCCGGCGTCATTGACTACCAAAATTCAAGATGGTCAGACCCACCGCTGTTAGACATTTCTGGCACGGCAATTACCTGTGGAGCCAGCAGAGTCTTCATATGTTTCAACTGCATATTTCTTGATGTACGATTGCACCTCTTGCGGCTTGATTTTTACCAAAGAAGTCGACGATCACAAACGAAGAGACTTCCCCGTCCCGTTTTGAGATGGAGGAATGTTTCTTATACTACGACTGTTTTATGAGCCAAACAAACTGCGCAGGCGCAGTATTTGTTCAACGACTATTTTATGTGTAAACTATCAGAGTAAAATAACAAAACTGACAACAGACATAAAATGGCTAATCAAGTTTTATTTCACCTCAGTTATTGGTTTTTCATTATCATTCGGAAGCATAACAAATTATCTACAATTCCTGACAGTGAACACTGCTAAGCACACTAAAAATGAACTTACATACCCGATATACTGAATCCTACAAATGTGATTTCTGTTCACATTCCTGAGGTAAATATGCGGATTACTCTGGCAATAAAGCCAAAACTATCGAAACCTTCCTGTTTTAAACTTTTCTTTAAAAAAAATATCCATCTGCTAATTAATGGTTATGCAAATTAGATTGAGATTACTTCACCTTACTTCCCATGTGTATACATCAGACAATCATGATTTCTGACACAAGACTAAGCAAGCACAGTTACGTACCCAGTGAAAATTAACAAGAAGGCAAGGTGTCAGCTTTGATATCTAACGTCCTAATTTCCCCCAAGGGTTTTCCAATGGTTTGATCTGGAGGTGTGCAACCTGGGAACTGCATCAAAGGAATTTTACGATTTTCTTTGGGACAAAACACATGTAATTCTAACCTTAGGTCCTTGTGGCTATCATATTGTACAAATGCTGACACCTGTAATTCCATTTGGACCGGCCCCTCCCCATTCCCCCCGCCCATGCCAATCCCTTCCCGTTTTGTGGCAGAGTGACTGTGCAGTGCATGCCACAAACCACAAACCTGTCCCACAGGGAGGCCAGTCCAAATTTAAACAGTGACAGTTCAGTGCCCCCCCTCAATTTCCTAGATTACTCAGTTAACATATCTGACAGTAGTGTCATTCCGTGCATGCATACGTGTACGGAAATCAATGATTTCCTGCTGTACCGTTTTAGCTGATACTTGATACTGTTTCAAAAGCTCACTGATTTTGTACACACTTTCCAACTGAGGATCATGTCCTCGATTCTTGCCAATATTTGGGGAAAACTTTCTGTAACATGTTCATGATTTAGATCACGTGGACAGGTTTTAAAGCACGAACAAACAAGGAGCAACCAGGAAATTCTCGACTAACACCGCATACAAATGTGTTCTTGTATAACTGCACATATTGTAAGAAGAATCCTTAGTTAAAGAGATTACTCTATCATTGAATATATTGACATATTTTACAGCTCTTTAGGTATTAGTTACATGTACCATAAATAATTCTCAAAAAATAGTTTGACAATACAAGGCTGTGAAGTATACAGTTCATACAAGTGACACTTGGTGGTCGACAGGCCACCTCGGTCCTGCTTTTCTCAATCAAGAAAAAATTGGTATGGTAGAAAATAAAACATCCTCATTTTTCAGTCTTTCACAAAGTACGTGTAGGAAAGATATCCTGCTTGAGTGCATGTGACCATGTGCTTGGCAGAAGTGCACTGGGCGATGCTTTTTCACACAACTCAACATGCCACAGATGGCTTAACGCAATACATCCTTTCGCCAAGCAGCGGATGATGCGAACCGTAATGTTATCAGGGATTTCACAAAAACATGGGTGGCCCAATTTCTGTGACTAGTGTTGGGGGTAACTGACGAACGCTGACAATGAGAATGCAGTTCTGCGGCTAGCGAGGCGGTGAACCCGGGCTGCAGCCAACCAAACTTTGTTACAGCAAAGTCATACAATAACACTCTCAGCATCACGCGATGAACTGTCATATTTAAAGTTACGTGTACATGTAATCTTGCATCATGGGTAGAGTACTGGCCATGTTCCACACAGTGGTGTAGCTAGGATTTTAGCAGCCGAGGGGCACAAAGGGGGCACCAGGATCTTATTGGGGGGCACCAGCATCTTATCGGGGGGCACCAGCATCTTATCGGGGGGCACCAGCATCTTATCGTTAGCATCTTATTGTTTAGCCTTGTTCAATATCCATTCATCCATTTTTTTAGTAGGGGGTGCACCGGGAATCTGTGGGGGAACACCCCCCCCCAGCTACGCCACTGGTTCCACATATGCTAACAGGGTAATTCTAGAAACATACACGATACACACTTCCTCCTTTCCTCAAAGAGTGAACAGGAAGAGCACATGTATCTGCAAACAAATCTGATCCTCCTGACGTGCCTGATATCACAAGGAAAAAAGTATAGAGCACAAGTGTTTTCTGAGCAGTGCCACATACATGTGCATGTATAAAAATTTGTACTGCTTTTTGGGGACCCCACATTTGTGTGGGGTTTACAACGAGCGAAAATAACGCTCAAAAGGACCTCTTAAAACTCTGTAAGCATTTTCCACTGGGGAGCTTCCCCGGTTGATGGTCAAAGGTCAAGGCTGCATGCGGCAGTCAGCGTACAACCAGCAATAAAATACATACATCGAACTTCTGTTGCTGTAGCACTGACCAATCAGCACTGAGGATTCCAGTTTGTTTAAATATAGCCAGCCAATGAAACAAAGTGTTTCAAATGAAATTAAAGTCCAACATTTACAAATTACCGCATCTCAGTTTTTTCCCCACAAATCTTTTGATATTAACATTAGTTCATGCCTTTGGTTGTCCCTGCTCCGAAGTATGTCATGTTAACAATGGTAATAAAACAAAATCACCTTGACGTAACAGAAAAATTAAAGCATACAATCAACTTAATGCAAAATAGTGTCACCTTTGTAAAACCAACTGTACACACAATAATTGGTAAAAAAAAAACCTGTCAATCTGTAAAACACATTCCCAAATATATAAAGCTCACCCTAATTTCCATCTACATTTGAAATCATAAAAAAGGGACTTAAATCGATCAGCAATATATTACTACAATATAATGTACAATTTGTCCAAGTGAGTTGTTAGTTCTAAGATGGGAAATGCATGCACAGACAGCACGGTATTCAACAGACCGATTGCAAAAATAAAGCCCATTTCGGTGTAGTGCTCAGCACATCAGTAGTCTGAGCACTTTTAACGACCACTGGCTTTATTTTTGGTAAATATGACACACTTTGCTATTGGCGGACACCATATTTGTTGATGTTTGATACCCACTATAGGTCATGTGACTGAGCAGGTGCAATTGGTCTATTTCTAAGCCTCTTTTGGGACATGATTCAACGTCAACAAGAGTGATGTAGCAAAATATAATTTCAAAATAAATCTAGTTTGTAGTACCCACGCAAGACTAAAATTGTGAACTGGATGGCTGTGGTTGGGTCCACTGCCCATTCAACATGTCAGTCTAGTTCCAAGTTCTTCTAGCAAGCCCAGTCACAAAAAGGAACCAAGAAAACAATGACGATGGAATGTTTCCGTTGCAGCTCTTTTGAATAGCTTGGGACTTGAGACTAGACGCTACATGTATGAATTTGATGCCCTTGTGACTGACGACAGTACCGCAACACAGTTTCTGTCGATATGATTCAGAACAATCAAGAGATATATGAGTGTGTACGTGTGCAAAGGATTCCAGCAGACAAACTCCACACAGAGAAATATGGACGAGCTGCGTAGCTCCGTGATCAGAATAACGACAAGAATATAATATCAAATCAGTGCTCTGAAATATGTGATTGCTGAGCTTTTGGTAACTGAGTACCTTCTTCAGGGCAAGCAGAACTCGGCTCACTTCCAAATCTACCGTACTTTGCAAACTGTCAACCCGAGTTTTTAACGAAGGGAGTGCAATTAATTCCATTCATTTAGCACTGAAGCCGAAATTCACGACCTGCTTTTTAAGCCTTCGAAAACAGCTCTGACAGGCAAGCTCACCACAGTGTCATAATATTCTGGAAATACTGAAGCCACGTGCATTTCTTGTACCAGCATCTCTGTGGCATTTCAAGAGTAAATGATACAAATTTCGCATAAAAATAGAAACAAAATAGAAACACACATGGAGTGTAATGCTTATCATGATGGAAGTGGGTGTATTAGGCTGAGGGGGAGATGGATTTTCACCCCCCGCCCTTCCATCTTCCCCAACGAGCAAGTGGTCAATTATTTCCCTGAGCAAAATTTAACCAATGACTATTCTAAAATCCTCTACAAAATTTTCCAACTACCTTCTCAGAATAAATCTATTACTGAAATGCCCATGAAAAAACAATTTCACACAAAATTTTGAAAACAGTACAGGTCCATAAAAAGCTCTTCTTTTTCTTTGGCGGAAACAATTCAAACTCTGTCCTAACAGACGACAGGGAAGAACGAGTGATGGTTTTCTTTGAAATCATAAAAGATCATTTCACTCAAGCAGTAAACATGGTAAATGCATTCTAAACTAATATACACGTATACCTATCACCGAAGATGTATCATTGCCACCATAAATAGACTACGATTTGCACAAATTTCTTAAATTCAAAGTATTCCAATGTGATCTCTGAATTATACAGATTTCCACAAGCAGATAGGAATGAACACATGTACACGCCGACAATTTTTATGAAGCATTATCTAAAAAGGTCACACACAACACATACTGTGAGCCGAGTCACATTCACCGATTTTTGCATGCACCACTAAGCCAAAATGTACACTCGTGCAGTTAGGTTTAGTTGGTCGTGTCATTACAGTGGTAAGAAACAAAGGGAATGACCGGAGAATGAAAGAGTGAAATAAATGTAGCTTATCGATTTTACGACCAATGAAAAGGTGACCCAGTGACAGTGCCCATGCATGCATGCCATTTACACAAGCACCTGCGTAATCGGTAATGGTGGGAATTTACATTTGATTTGAAAAACGCTCAGCAAACTTCGTCCCACCCTAACCAGGGCGTCATTGAAAACTTTAACCATGACAACTTGAATACAACGTGAATACATGTAGTTGACACAAAGTTCAGGTGATGAATTCACGGTATTCCCTTGATACCTAGGACCGAGCAGTAATTTGTTCGGAAAATCAGATTATATTTAGACGCATAGTTTACAATAAAAATGAATGCCGGATTTCATCAATTAAAAGCGGTTCCTTTTAAACACTTGGGAAAATCTGTAAACGGATTTGGAACTTTTTTCGTTTAAATGTCCCACCCTCAGTAATTGGTCAGTCATTCGTGCACGTCATGCAATTAATCTACAAACAGGGAGAGAATCCCCGGCGAAAGAAATGACGGAATAATGGAATGAATTCATGATGATCTTGAGGTAGATCATGCAGGCATCTTCTTTACACAATCTAAAGCTGGTCAGTCCCCAAATGATTCGATATCCACTCAATTCGAGCAGTGTTTTGCATAATCCAATAACATCCAATAACATCGTGAGGACCTATCGGCTCAGTATGGCATGACAAATTGTGGCAGGGTCGTGTGGCATGTACATGTACCAAGGCCCGTCTTCTGGAGTGGTTTAGCAGGGTAAGTTGCTAAGCCCAGGAAATGTGAGCAGTTGCATCAAAACGGTACTGACAATTATGTGTTTGCCTTGACAGCAAAAAAAACTCACTTTCCAGGGCCGACGTATTTGAACTCAATGCTGATTTTGTGGGAAATGTTCCAAATTCCTTTTCTCGGTACCAATTTTGTCCACACTCTCTCAAAAGCAAACTGGAGACAGATTACTACAATGTCAGAACTGAATCAAAGGACTGACCACTGGTGACCAGTCAGTTCCACCTGTTGAGTGAATTTGACAAGTCACGATGCCCACTGGATGCGTGATCTGACTGGCCTATGTATAGACTAATTCAAAGAGATTGCATTTTGTGGTGGCGCTGCCCTCAAACCTGCGTTCTTAAGCTGGATGCGCGTGAACATTTGGGAATTCACAGCACCCAAAGAGGCCAACCACCTACCCACCAGCACTGTGTAAAGGCATAAATGGAATCTCACTCCTGTGGCTGAATTTAACTTGAAATGCATGAAAAACTTGCATAACTTGTGCTCTGTCGGTATCAATCCAGGTATCGTTAATGAATTTTTACAAATAAGTCTCCAATCTTTCCTTTCCATCATGCGAGAAGGCCTTCTGCTCCTCTCCATTGCAATGGCAGTTCACATCCTTTGCGCCGTCCTCAACAACGACCGTGCTGTGGTCAACGGCATTGGGTACCGGTTGTTCCGTCGTTGTGCTCTGATTGGATGGTGGCGCTTCGCACGGACAAGGCCCATCCTGTACCCTCCAGTAGCAATATCGCCGTCCCCTGCGAGTGAAAAGGTTGCCGTGGCAACCCCGGGTGCTGGAGGGTATGACCACATCATCCCACGACAGGGGAGAGTCGACCGTATCCTGGCCGGTGTTTTCGTACGAGTGGGCATTCCCCTCCGGGGTGCGGCCGGCGGGCCTCGACTTGGCTGGAGTGGAAGGGGCTCTGCCAAACAGGCGGATACTGCCGTTCGGGTGGAGGCAGCGGTAGTAGAGCAGCATGATGAAGATGCCGAGGAAGAACCCGCCCCAGACAAATGCCAGAGCGGCCTTTCCGTAGTCCGTGTCCCTGCCCTCGTAGTGATACCACAGGGCAAACATGACGGTGTTCTCGACCAGGATGACGGTGTAGAAGAAGGCGGCCCGGTATCGGGTCCGGCCCTCCTTCATGTTGAAGAAGCAGAAGATGTGGATGATGCCGATCACGCAGTCGAAAAGCACCTCCTCCAGCCGGGTGGTGCAGAAGTCCGTGTCCTGATAGATCAGCCACAGCGTCATGGCCACGTAGTGCACGCCCACCAGGGCCACAAAGCTCCACAGGCTGTAGGCGGCGAAGAGCGCTAGCGAGATGACGCGGGCTGTGATGGTGAAGGTGCGCCAGGCCATACGCACGGTCAGCCCGATGTAGCCCAAGTTGTTCTTGTTGCTACAGGCTTCGCGGAGTGCCTTGTGGTAGGCCTCGATGCCCCAGGCAAGGGACGCTAAAGAAATTATCGCCGAAGTTGCTGTAGGAAAATTTATACATGTGTTTTATTCCATCTTACGTGTATACTGCATGGGTGATTTGATCGCCTATTTCTGAAGTGGTGTACAGTTAATCACCAAAATTAGCCAGAGTAAAGAGTGGGCAGATACAATGATATTTAAAACTGTGAAAAAGAATGAGCTTTTGTTAAATTATTGATAACAGATTGAACAAAAGATTTCATGGACTTAGTTAAGACCTGTTCCAATTTCAAGCAACATTGAACACCAGAAGCATTGACATCACAAACGTTCTGAGGCAAAAGTCAAAAAGCGCCCAAATGTGGAATTTTCAATGCAGGCATTTTTTGCGGGTCCCAAATTTACATCTAAATTCATTTTCACACCCAGTGGGAGCCCACATCAGGGGATCTCCACTCGTAGTTACCAACTGCAACGGGAAGGCCCTACAAGTGGAGGCCACCTCTTACCTGTCAGCCAGTACACGTCTTTCTGCTGCGTCATGATGTATATCTGCAGCACTAGCTGTGGGGCGGCCTCCATGAATGATTCCAACAGTCGCAGCATGGTCAGGTCCCGATATTCATACACGCTCAGGTCATAGTAGTCGCGTTTCTCTCGGCTCCGCCAACCGTACTTCACGGTCCGCCAGTACCTGAAACAAAGATTGCCCCCAACACCCAAATACAACATTAATGACTGGATAAAACACCAAAAGCCATAAGAACCCACTCGGTAGCCGCTGCAGCTAGTTTTCATAGGTGCAGTGTGTTAATAACGGCAGAAGTCGACCAGCCTGACTCGGATCACCAGAGAAGTTTGCTTCTGTCACCCCTCTCAGGAGGCAAGTTTCCCCCCCCCCAAAAAAATAGCCTCCTCTACAAATCAAGCATCGGGTTTTGTTCAAAGATTCGTCCGGCGTGGTACCTTTTCAAGACGCCCAGCTGCAGAACGTGGAAGAGTAGCCACAGGATCCAGTCCATCACCTTCTTCAGGAACGGCACGTGCTCCGCCTTCCGGACCTCCTTGGAGTCCAGGACGAACCACCTGAAGCTGAAGTACTGAATGGTAATCGACGGGATGATGATGAAGGCAATGGTCAGACCGCTCCATTCGTACTCGTCCAGCAAGATGTACTGGACAGCTGGAAAAGCAAAATGCACCAATTGGCAAAAGCCCTCAGCTCTGACGTCAAATATATTCAAACGAGAGTGAAGGTGGGTTCGTAATTTGTGTGGGAAAAACAAGCCGAGAGAATTTGACAACTGTTCGGGCGTTTGCCATAACCCTGATGAATTCGCTTTGTCTTCAAACTTGACAAATTGGTGCATCTAGTATAAGGCACTTCATTACTTTTAAGAGTTCAACTTTTGTACAAAGAACGTTAGAATGCACATATAGAGAAAAAAGTATTTGTCATTAGCTTGCCAAAGAGATAAGATGAAGCAAAGGTAGAAAAAGATGAGTTCTGTTGCTAGAACAGGAGAGAAGTGAGAGTTCATGACATCTGATCTGTTTTGGAGCTATATATGCAATCACATGTATGAAGCCAAACCACGGTTCACAGCCATGCACAAGGCATGACATCTAGATGCTCAACCAACCATAAAAACTTCACGTGTGAAATTAGGCTCCTATAACATTCGGGCTTTATTTTCCTTAAAAAAAAAATAACCTCCCTGTCCACAATTTCGACCAAGGATTCGAACCCACACCCCATTCACCACAAACCATTATGCTGTAACCACTTGACTACCGCAATTCACATAAGTCGGCGGTGTTTTTAACTGTTGATGTACCGATGAACGGCTGCATTGCAAGTCTAATACACATTGGACATGCGCAATATAAACACAACCACCGTGGTTTGGCTTCATACGTATGATTGCATACATCTCCTGTTTTGTCGGCATGACTTTTCTTACCAACTGAAACATCGGTAGCCAGATCTGCTACGTACGTTGCCATGCCGGCCATCAGGAACAGGGCATCTAGGATAAGACGTATGCGACTCACCCGGTGCGGCTCCACGCCAGTCTTACGCCGCATTTGCTGCGCAGTTTCTGGGGTCGGGGCCGGCGGGTGGGCACTACTGGTCGTCTGCGAAGGAGGTCCCTCCTGGGGACCGGTGGTGGCGGTCACTTGGGTAGCCGGTTTGGCCCCCTCGTCTGCCATCCCACTGCCGCGGGCTGAGTCTTTTCCAGAGTCTATTCTCATTTTTCAGATGCGAGGGCTACCGCATCAAATACGACACTGTTCGATGTCGCATCTGCATGGCTGCATATTGCACAGAACAGTGTTGAGCATGGCATTTAAGTTATGTAAGTTTCTGAAGGTGGACTCTTGGAGCAAGGATCAAGTCCAGTGGCCATGATATTACCTGGTTACTGGCAGTTACTGTAATTTAAACATGGTAAAGAAAAGAAGAAAATGTACCGTCGTTATACAATTTACACCTCTTTTTATCAGCATCAATAACCTCAACAATGATTACTCAAAAGACTCCTCTAAAAATTACGTTAAATGAAAACAATAAAAATTCTGCTAGAAAATGAATTTTTGGAACGCCATCAGCAAATCTGCATAATTTTTCTGATTGCTCTGCCATGTCTTCGCGATTGATTCTTCACGAAATCTCTGACTTTACTTCCCTTTGCTTTGTAAAAAGAATCTTTCACAAACATAAATTACAAAGAAAGGCAATCAGCTGGTGGCGAAATTATTGACAAATCACGCAATAAGATCGTTCGATGCGCAAAAAGTCATGACATCACGTCACAACTCGGAGTCAGAGGGTGAAAACAAAATTGGATACTATACTATAGTATAGGCCTAGGTCTACCTGTCATTAGGGCTACCATGGCTAACGATAACGTTAGGCTAAATGTCGTAATGACAGATTGACATTCAAGTTTATCATTGCCATGCTAGCGATTTAAATTAAATTATAATTCAACATCGGCAATCGCTATGATTTAAGCACTTCCATGGTCAACAATGAAGTTGTGAAATTAAACGTACATGTACGATCTCGGGCACATCACAGGTAAGGTCCAGAAGGTAGGCCTACGGTAAACTCGTTATATGCGGTGTTGACGTACCATGGTACAGTCTGATGGTTGATCTTAGGCTGTATCCGAATCTCTTTTCTAGAGCTTGGTCTAGGTCTTCGCTCCATTGGAAATGCGTGGAGACGCGTAGACGATAGACCTAGCCGTAGCTCTGGAAGCCCGTTTCGGTCACGGCCTGTGAGTACTAAATACATGAAATGTCACGATCATCCACTGTGATGTGGCCGGCGGTGCAGCGCCGCCCTTGGCATTCGCAGAAACCAAACTAAAATAGCGCCCTCCATCAATTTTTTAACCCAGTAACGTCACCCGGGTATGACGACCGTTTCATGCACGGTTTTCTTCACGTGGTCGTATGATAACATCAATGAAAAGTTTGAATAAAAAGTAAGGGTGTTCGTGCTTTCCTGTTGTCTTAACTTCCATCCATTTTTATACCATTCACCCTTTTAAAATATTATGTTTAAGTCTATTGCCTATGTGTTATACAAGCTTTTGGTATGTTTGTGATGTGTTTTCAATCATATACAAGGAAACAGGAGAAATTAGAGCCAACTTCTTCCTAGTTGCGATTTAGCGTCCCAAACCATCGGGATATGTTTAATGTAAGTCAGAAAATCAAGATTTTGCAGTTTTTTTCAGTTTGATATAGTTAAAGGGGTATTTGTCTGGAGACATGTTATTTTTTATCTATATTTCATTTCTCTTTATAGGGTCCACGGACCATCGTTTGAAAACAGTCAAAGTTTTGGGCACGTTTTCCCGAAAGTTCAAGTAAGATATTAGACAGTCCTGTTTGGGTTATGGACGGAATAGAGTGGTCAGCTGGGGACGTCGTCCCCCCGGGGGGGGATTTGGGGAGAGAATGACAAGAAGGGCAATTTGGGTCTTTTTCTTTTTTATTTCTACAAAAAGAGTGGAAAAAACCCAAATGTGGTCTCGTCCTCAGAAAGGCCTTTGTTTGATATACGAAAAAAAATTCGAAATCCCACCCCCCCCCGAAAAAAACAAGTCCTCCCCCAAAATTTGGTTCTTAAACCATCCTTGCCGACGGGAGGAGGAGCCATCTTTATGGGGGTGTGGAGTGGGCCTGGTTCCGGCTTCGGCCATTCGTTGCTGAGTACAGGTATCAGGCAGCTGATTGGCCGAGCTTGGCGCATATAGTTATATTTTTATCAAAGTTCGGTTTTATTCCAGTACTGGCTTTATCTCTGCCATCGAAGCCGCTTGTATCCGTATTAAATAAAGCATTTACGGTTGTAGATTGATGATATATTTCCCAATGTTGGTCTGGTAAAATAAGGCCAAGTTATAAGGCTAAGAGTTTTTTAGTTTGAGGAAAAATTTCACCAAGCCGATTCATGACAACACCGAAACTTGGAAAATGTAAAAGTACATATGCAGTGCATAGTAGTCATACGACACTGGTGTGCAATTTTTTTTTACACAGCACGTTGGCTTATACCGACTTGACAAAAGGCTATTTTATCGCCGGTCTGGATTTTACCCTCCCATCTGACGAGTAAGATTCAGTGACACTAGTCTCTTCTCAAGACTTCGTTTTCCCATGGGGAAGGACAGGTACATGGTCTATTCCCTGGACTCTTGTGTAGAAAAAAGTCCCGCTTGCGGTCAACACAATCGCGTCAGGCCACCCACAAAGTCACATGCGTAACAGAATCGTGCATGTGCGGAATGCATGCTCATTGAAGTCCGATTTTACCGGTAATAAGTCAACAATTCGATCGTGTATCCTTCACTTGGATGTATTAGGTGAGTAACTATTTGCTTAATGATAACAAGGTGTGAATCTTATCTCCGATCACTTTACTCTGGTTGAGGGAGATTTGTTGACTGATTTCAACAGCATCGCGCGTGCACTTTCAGTGACTTTAAGCAGCACTTTTGCCTTCGTTCGACCCTTACTTTTTTACTTTTACTTTACTTTATTTCCACACACACCCGAAGGTGGAGGGACCACTGGGAAGCACAGCTTGTCGAGTAGGGGCCCCGAAACAGACATAACTGGATATGTGGGACCCTTGTCTGTGGTTCGACAATCGACATGTTCTTATTCCTCCAATGCCATGGGTCGAGTAATGAATTGATTTCAAGCGTAGCCGCTGCTACATCGATGTGGCGTGGTTCTTTTGTGTTTATCCCATGTGTAGTGACACGCCGGGTCGAATAGGATGGTGTGGGCCCAAATACCAATATCAGTCAACAGTACTGTCAATACTCCTCCATACATCAATGTTTGTCTGTCCATGCTATGGTCCATGAGAGGACGGAAGTAGAAATGTCATGATTCTAAATATGTAGGGCCAGATTTAGAAAGAGGTCCATACACACTGTGCATTAACTTTATGAGATTGGTCGTAAAAATACTATGTGTTTTCTGAGCGCGTGGCATCGGTATGGAATTCTTTCTGTGTTAGTCTGAATGTTAGTACTACACATGTGCCTTGAATGAAACAGCATAGCGGCATAGGCCTGTGTTCGAGTTGTGAGCCTCCAAAAAATATCAAACAAAATCAAATTGGAGATGGTTTGGATCTGCACGTGTTGCATTGGAAGACATGTACATGCCGTGTACAACTTCACATTAAAGGGTCAAGGGAACGTTGACAGATTGATCATCAAGTCAGGGCAGCCCAGTTGCAGTCCTGCAGTTGGGATAGATGTCCAGAAAGGAGAAAGAAATGTTTCATCAGACATGTCGGATTCACGTGTATTGTATTCCCCGTGCATATAGAGTACCGAAGTGAATACGTCACGCGCACAATTAGTGTGTTAAAGGCATTAGCGCAAGAACCAGCACGTGAACCAACGCGCGCGTGTACGTCATCCGTTTGCACTGCACCTCCTGGTTCACAGTGACGTCACACTTCGGTACTCTTTTGCTGCACTCTTCTCTATGATCTGGTAACCATTCCATTCGAGTGAACTTGTACCTACAGTACTGTGGATATTGCCTGCATTATCCACCTGTGGTGAAATGATGATAACTGATAGGCTCGTCTAGAGTCGTAGGAAGAGAAAGTGATCCCTTGTGATTATTATGATCAGGATAAATTTGTAGACAGTTTCCATACGAACACGGATATCAAATTGGTACATATCGAGTATTGCTCAGTACCATAATCTTCTAGAAAAGGACTTTGCAGTTATTGGATATCAGAAAACGAAGAACCCAGTTGCTTGGCTCATATTCATGAATCATATTTGTTTTTGCTCTATTAATGCAGCGTTGTGTCACTCTTGTTTGTTTGGTCTTGCTCATCATCTGTCTGTCCTATGTTAGATTGTATGGTTGTCTGTCTATAGGTAGGGGTGCAAAAGCGTTCCTGCGTAACCTTAAACCAAAATAATTTCATTTAATTTATCAGATGTATAATCCTATTTTATGTAATGTTACTCAATTTAATGACCAGGTATATTCAGTACTTAAGTAATGTAACATGTTTGGTTACATAGTAAAGAATGACAGCATTGAAGTAATTGTTTCATCATCATCAATAAATTTTTCTCACTGCTGAATATGTTGGCGAGTCTTGCATGCCTGGTGTTTTATATTAGCTCTGACGGAGCTTTAAAGACCACTCTCATTTTGCCTACAATTTGTCTGGGCAGCTCCGGTTTGCAGAAAAATCACTCTTGGGTTAATTTTTTTATTTTACCTCAGATTTGTTCAAATGTAGGCATATTTGTCGCATTACTAAAGAGAGAACTGTATTTTCATTTAATAATTTTAGCAGAACAGGCATCATTATCTGGTGTTTTGATAGCTGTGTGGGATTTTTAACACTTCATAAATTGTTCTTTTACTTAAAATTGTAAGTTTTGTCTAGATGGCCCAAAATAATTGCAGCAGCCACTTGTAAGAAAAACAAAACTGCAACTTCAATAGAGCAAACACTGTAATGGAGTGCAGTTCACTGGGAATTCAGCCCTTTAGGTTCTATTGATGTGTAGTTCCACCCGGTTGAGTTTGTTGCATGGGAACAGGAAACCACAAGTGGCACCAGTTTCTGTTGTACTTTGTGACCTGCCTTGTGCAGTGTCACCCACCAGGCGGCGAACCTGCAGAGATTTCAACTCGCTCTTTATCGCAGTGTACATTTGTTAATGTACTGGTTAATCCACAGTACTTGAGACACTACCAACAATTCAGCAGGCGCATGTACATGTACCATCATTACCCACGCTCACAAAGGTGTGTAGTGCTAAATACATGTAACTGTGCCCTTCTTGTGTTTGCCTGGCACCGTGAAAGTTCAGTTACGTGTACATGTACTACAAAATGGCTGCATGTACAAAATGGCAATTAATGAATTAAAGAAACATCTACGGGGTAAAATGCCGCATATGCAGCAACGTA